CATAATATGACTTTTACACCATGCTCTAATGAATATATATGTATATACACAGGTAGTGGCACGTAAAACTGGCTCGTCCCTTCATGAGACATAAGATGAAAATAATCAAGGATTAAACAAAGTCAAAACATAAAATGAAATGTACTGCTTTGAATATGAATATATATTGAATTTGAATTCAACAATGGCAACACACTCAGGTATCAAATACGGCATTATCACACACTCACCTGGTTTCACACAATGAGGCCTACTTCTCAATTTCACTGGCTGCTGCTGCAGCTGCCTTGCACATGCACCTGCAGGTCACATGTCCCGACCCGGCTCGCTACACCATCTCTTGGTAGAAAGCTGAATTGTCACCAAAAACGCAATATACCATGATATTAAAACAGGTCGGTTTTACATGCTGCACTCTGTACATATATATATATACAGTCAAAAGTCGTTAATTCGGACACCCATAATTCGGAATGATCTATAATCCGGACATCAAAACTAAAAACTTTCTGCGCATGCGCCGCGTTGACACATGCACAGAGGCGTTCACGCGTGCGCGTAAGACCTTTTACGACTGCGCATATGAATGTGCGCAAGTGCAGAATACGTTTTTGCGTGCGCATTTTATGTATAATGGACGTATAAGCTAAATAATTATCTATTTCAGTTAATGTTGATGATTGCGTTGTTCCTTAATTTTCGAATTGCATCCGGCTTATTATTTTTTGCAGACTGTAAGAGCAATTTATAAAAGTAAGCTTAAAGTTTCGATTATATCAAATAGAATTTCCGATATATATTTGTTAATATGTAAAGGATCTAAAGCGAAAGTATGTTTTGAAATCCGAAATCGTTTTATCAATTTCACGCTGCTCGGCGGCGGGTGCGTAATGAATTGGAAGTTGATTTGTCAGCACACTCCTTATCTTCAGCGCAGATGTTTTATTTTATTTGCCTTAAATTCCCTTACCAATGTAGTATTTCATCTCGATATGCTCCGTCTTTGATATGATTTAAAACAAGTTCCTCGTCATTATAATTCGCTTCCGATAGCGAAGAAAAGTGACAGAGGTTAACTTCCGATAGCGAAGAAAAGTGACAGAGGTTATTGAAAACAAAAAAATTTCGATTGACAAATTAGTCGGTGTTCTCGACACAGCAATTATAGGACTTGAACGGCGGAACTTTGTAACTGAACAAGAAATTATGTCTGTTTAATAGAATTAAAGAGAAAGTATTATCACATGAAACGAAGTAAAACTTAAACAACTTACATTGAAAGAAATGTTTAATAAAGTAAACAAATAAATATTAAGCTTTTTCTTTTTGCAAATTTTGATACCCTTTAGATCATAATTGTTCTTTATTTCATAAATTACAGTTTCATATTTTTAATTTTAGAATTTCTGCATGCCATCTTACGAGATTTAAACTAATGATCTATAATCCGAAAAAATCGATAATCCAGAATCGCCGAAGTCCCGACGAGTCCGGATTAACGACTTTTGACTGTATATATGTATAAGATATAAAATATGAAAGAAAACTACTAGTTTTAATTAAGAGTTGTCCTTTTGATTCCTTATTTTGACTTTCTTCCCTTTCTGTTCAAAATTGTTTAAAATATATATAAATTCCAGTATACCATCCGCATTGTAATGACCATTCATGTAGTAACCAACTCTCAAGCTATGGTTACTGAAGAGCATAAGTACATAAGTGAGAAGCTCCAAGTATATGTGACTGTGTATGATGCATTATTCTCCTGATACCCTGTATGCCCTGACTGCGGATCTATAAAAAAATCTGGAGGAGCTTTGTTTACAAAGTGATTTCTGTTCCAGAAAATTTGAAAGTAGCTTAAAATCTTCATCTTGCACTCCAAGACCATTCAAAGAAAGTTCCAGCCACATGACATAGTACACTGTCAGGCTAGTAGATAAGACAGCTTGTATTTATAAATATTTTTTTTTTTTTCCAAATCCAAATAAAATATGATAGAAAAATTCAGGTTTTAAAACTTCTGTTTAACTTATCAAAATACAGTCTTAATAGTTTAGTTTTTAATATAATTTCCTTATACTTCCATTCACTTCACATCTTAATTCTTTTAGTGAAACCTTTTAAAGTTGGAATTCAACAAAAAAAATGGTAAGCAGTCTAATCATGTCTAGAGGAGTATGCAGGTAAAATTTTTTAAAGGTTCCACATACCCTTTTAATTCTCTGGATGTGTCCAAAGTAGGCTCACAGAAATTATAGAGCTTCGAAAAAAGCGCTGAAGCGAGTGTTGCTAGGAAGCACGTAAAAGAGTAAATAGTTTTGTGTATGATTAAAAAACCCTAGATTCTGATTACTGGAGCAGATTTAGCATTACCCAGGGTGCACCATGAGGAGGCCTGCTACTGTACACACAAAAATAATAATAAAAAAAAGCTCTTGTTAGGTATGATGATTACATGTGTATAAATGAAAAAAAGCGTAATGACAACAGGAATGCCAAGAAATATATGGCTATATGATATCTACATTTCATTACGCTTTTCTTTTTTTTAAAAAAAAAGGTCCAAAGGGGCTTTGTCCCTGAAGTACTATTGCTTTTGTTTTGCGTTGGTTCACTGTAAATGTCTGTTTCACTTTTCAAACTGTTGCCACCAAATGTTAGAGTCCTGCATTATATTTGAAGAAATTAAATAATGAAAAATCTGCATAAATGTATATTTCTCGCATTTCGATGAAAAATGTTACATAGAGGCATCGAATTTTGAATGACTTAATCCTACTGCGAATATGGGCATGTGGAAGCCCAAATTTTCGAATTTGTTTTATTATTGAGTTCATATTTTCTAAAACTTTAATGAGGGAACCTTTTTATCTCCAGCATGCAGAACTGTGTATTGGAAATTCTAAAGATATGCTCATTTTAATATTATTTTGCAACATTGCTGTTGAACTGAATTTTATGGTTTAAGTGCAAAGAACATGATATTTAATAAATAAAGGTAACACACAAAATGTAAAAAAAAAGGGCCCCTTTGGACGTAATTTAAAATCTGAAACCTTTCAGATTTTTTTATTTATTTTTTATTATCTCTCCCCCCCCCTCCTCAATGGTGGTACTTTTGAAAGCAAGTGAACCAACCACCTTTGAAAAAGCACAACCCAGCATTGCATGTTTTGCACATGTATCGGGATCCGTAACGAATTCATTATCTGAAAATAATTTGTTTAACACTTTCGGTGCTTCAAAAATTGTCAGTCCTCTCCGATCCATTTGCAAAATGATTAAAAATCAAAAATAAATAAACTAATATTATATCTACAATTAAAAAAATATAAACTATAAAATAAAATTAAATAAACGTTTACTACTCAAAACTATCAAAATATAGAGCTAACAAAACATCTTGCAAGGAAAGTGAAAAAAATTAAGAGAGAGAGTGAACTGCTGTACAAAAAAATTAAAGAGCTAACTGATAAAAATTACTTCTGACCTTTAGAAAAACACCCCAACAATTTCTTAGTTGATAACCAAACCTCTGTTCCAAAAAACACATGCGCAAGCACACATAAAAGAAAAAGAAGAACATGAAATGAAATGCAGATGTGCACCCACCTTTCTATCACGAATGAGCTCACCAAAGAAAATACTACAGTAAAACAAAGATAAGTTTTTGGTCTGGTCATGATGTTTTAGTGATCCCACTCTGGGCACACCAGATGTTCGTCATTTGATTTTAGGCAGGATTTCAAGGTAAAAATTTAAAACTAATCTAGAATAAAAAGATCAGCATATAGCCAAGAAAATAACATTGAAATTTATTTTCAAACTATTCCTTTTATATCCTAAAACAATCTGGAAGATTTCTTTTAAAAATGAGGGTCTTTAAAAACTAGACATGGGTAAAATGTATGGACTGGTTTGTGTCGTGCTGCTTATCTAGCGTAAATAAAGAAGGTTAAAAGTAACATATAAAGCCTTTTTCATTCAATTTTTCTCTGTATACAGAGCTAATTTGCTCAGACTGGGCACACTATGCTGGAAAGGGTTAATGAGCAAGTGTGTGCTTCTGAAAAAACAAAAATCTGTAAGTTTCTCCTCAGAATGTTCTGTAACTGCTCTTTTCAGACCACCATCATCATCATCGAATCTCTTTCCAGGAAAGTGAGATTTTTGTTTGGAAAATATGTAATAATCACTTAGAGCTATTTCTAGGATATAAACACACAAAAAAATACACACAATTGTAAAGCTCCTTAAATCACTGTTGTTGCTTTTGAATTGGTTAAAAATGTCTGGATACTCATCTGAGCAACTTTATTCATGTGAAAGTGTTCATGAAAAATGCACAAAGCAGTTGATTTAGATAAATCCTATCTTGCTGTTATATCTGTGACTTTTAATCTCCTGTCACTCGGTATTTCCTCCTAGACATGATCATTAATTTTTTTGCAGTGGTTGATCTTAATTACAAATATCCTCTTTGGATTTTTATTCCATGCAGAACTATTTTATAGTTTCTTTCAGTGTTAAATTAAGGAGATGAATCATTATACACATGATGCAACCATTGTTTTATTTCTTTGAGATTAAGACCTTCTTTAATCAAAAATTCAATAGAATCAAAATAGAGCAATGCTTAGTTTTATACATTTCAGAACTAACTAGCACATTTCAGCCAGATTTCAAGAAAGAACGCATACAATTTCTCTAATGGAACTTTCAGATATATTCATTTAGTATTGTCACTACATATCTTGGGGGGAGGGAATATATAGTCGGACAATATTCTGTATGTAAAGTTGGGAAACTATCTATGTATATATGATAAAGGGAGGAAATAATACAGCATTTTTATTAGAAGATCATTTGTAAATTTAAAATTCTAGAAATATTTAATCCAGACAATAAGTTTTTTTATAACATAAAATTTTCTTGCTATGTGAAGGTTTATTTTGATTTTTATAGCCCCGTATTGATATTAATTTTGATATTTTTAGGGTCTAGGTGATACTGCACGAACTATATATCATGTAGCAGCTACTGAGCATGAACATAAAGGTGTCCCAGGAGCTGTAGGTGGTGTCCTAAGACAAATACCGCCATCTTTATTTACACCTGTAATACTTGCAGGTAAAGCTACTAGATCTGTTCTGGATGGTATGCTGCATCAGCTCGTGCCAGATGCACATCAAGAAGACATTCACAAATGGCGGACAAAGAAAAGTTAATAAATTTTCTCCATGTAGTATTGAAAAATATAATTTTAAGATACATATTTATGAACATGTGTAGGAATAACTGAACAATGTGGATATATCTGATGTGAATAATCTGTGTCTGTGAAATATACTTAGCATCAAATGTGATTTAAATTTTTTCCAAAAGTATAATATATTTCAGAATTTTAAATCAGTGTTATATGGCAGAAAGCTTGCAGAGCATGCAGTATTTTGTTGTGGCTTTAGTGTAATAGATGTGTTCTGTTATGCAAGGCAAACAATGTATATTAATTGAAGCAATGTTATGTTACAAAACTGGCAATATGTAATAGTTTGAGCACTCCAGATTGTGTGAACATGAATAAATATATTTTTTTTAATTGAAAGTTTTGTTGATTTATTGTTATGTGGATAAGAACTAATAATTCAATGATATACATGTAAATAATTTAATATTGCTTGGAAATTCTTTTATCAAGCAAATTATGCTAGAAGGATTTTAGTCTTATATACACATATTCAATTATATATATTATAATAATAAAAATAAATTGAATTTAAATAATTTAATTAATTTTAAACAAATTTAAATTTTAACAAATGTATATACGTAAAAAAGCAAATTTAAAGTTAAAATAATTAAAAAATGTGCAAACATATAAAAGATTTAATTTTCGAACTAATCTACAATATCATTTAAATTCAGATAGCATAAGTAAATTAAGTGCAAAACCAAACCATGAAAACAAATTCACCAATTTAGCAAATTAAAGTTAATCTAAAAAAATTATTTTAAAAATGCATAAGTGAATGACTGCTGAGCAGGTAGGAGACAAACTTATCAAGGGGAAGTTGCCTCCAAACCTAGCTCTCCAATCATTCAATTTATGTTTCTTCATTCATGCAGGCAAAGGTAAAAGTCAAAACCAAAAGTAAAGAGTGAAGAATGTCCAAAAAGAAATACCAATGAAGTGGTACCTTTAGAAATTAGCAATTACAAAAATTAAAGTTCCAAAAGGAAAACACCAATGAAGTCGCTTGAGAAACAAGCAATGTGTAAAGTCAAGTATTAAATTAAGCTTTTTTAAAAAATTAAATTTTTCAGAAAAATTTAATTAGAAACCAATGCATTTTAGAAACCGTTGTCTACAGAAACCTCCCTGACACGAATATGCATATCAATAAAAAGGAACTAGACATAATTTATATAAACCAATAAGAAACGAAAAAAATTAATTCATAATTTAAAATATATATATATACTTAAAATAAATTTCATATCTAGAAAAACTTAAATACTACATAAAAAATATTTAAAAAATACTTAAAGCAAGTAAATAGTAAGTTTTAATTCTAACTTACCTACTATATTAGCGTTGGGGTCTGCAAAAGTGATGTAAGTGTGTTCTTCAAATCATATAGATGGCGCTTATGTAAGTAAAATTGAGTGCCAAGCTATCTTTGTTTTATTAACATTTTTTTGCATACTTTAATATTAAAATATTTAAAATATAAATCTTGAAAAAATTAAATATCCTAAAAGTATGTAATTCAAGTTTTAATTTTAACTGATCAACTATTTGTGGTAGGGGGTTAAGTAGCTGAGCCAATCAAGAGATGTAAGTTTGCTTTGCAAATATCAGAAAAAGAGTACTTATTGAAGTAAAGTAGAATTAAGTGGTTATTGTGAATTAATAAATGTAAACTGTTTGTAATGTGAAATGTGTGTTCTGTTGCAAAATTGTGTAAATATTGCAAATAATAACGTTAAGTGAAAAAAAAAAAATTTGTGAAAATTGCGAATAATTAAAAAGTAATTAAGTAAAACTGAAATGTTTTAAAAATTTTTTAAAAAGCTTTAAAGTAAAATTTAAAATTTAAAAATTCTTAAAAAAATTCCCAGAAATCTTTCCAAAATTCCTTAAAAAAGTTAATTAAAAGTTATATTTAATAAAAGAAAATATTGAAAGTTTAATGAACTTGATTTTAACTGGTATATCAAAACTTAACTAAACTAACTGGTTAAAGTATGGGAAATTAGAAGAAGAAGATTAAAATCTTCACTCAATTCGGGCTATAATTGAGACTTTTGAAAAGAGTTGGCCCTTTATTAGTAAAAGGAAAGAATACAGTATTGATTAAGTATACACATTTACAAATTTATCTACAATAAAAATTTACAAGATAATTCCTTTACTCTTCTATATCCTCCAAATGGTTGATATCTCAAATTGGAGGGTAACTGCAGCTAAGGTTTAAGGTAATGTTATCATACCAAAAAGAGCCAAAAAATTATTAAAGTTAATGCCTGCCTTTTTAATATATAAATTAATAAATTTTTGGTGTACTTGGTTTATCAACTTGACATTAATTAGCTTTTATATTTCTTCCTTTAAATCTTCTATTTCAGTACCTATATTTTTATTCTGATTATTTGGCTATGAAACATGTTTTCTATTACTTTTCTAGAGATATTAGAGTTCCAATTAATTAGCTTAACAGCATGAAAATGGAAATTCCTTCTTTTATCATATAATTTAATTTTGCTGTGTTAATAATTAGCAGGTTTAGGTATTCAATAGTATCTTGATTCGTATTCGTTTTATTAAGTGTTAAACTATTTGGGTAAATTTTGAATTGCTAAAAAGCAGAATTATTGAAAGTTATAATATCATCTATGTATCTAAATGTATGTGCAAATAGCTCATATTCATATTGTGTAGAACTGGTGAAATATAATCTATAAATTTTAATAGTGGATAGAAAATATTTGAAGTGCACTGACATTCTAAAGTTAGGTTTCATAACAAAAGATAGGACCGAAAGTTGCACCAAATATTCTTGCAGAATTTGAATGCAGTATTTATTTTCAAAAAAAATATATATATATTCATTAATACAGGGTTTCCATAATTTAATCAGTAGATAATTAAATTGAAGTGTAATTTTATGAAGTAACAGGAAATAATTTATATCAGTATAATCTTTAGTTCAAGGAGCTTCATTTGTTCTAATTTTGGGAATGGTAACGAACTTGTTTGTTACAAAATGCCGTCATGCATGGCAGTGTGTGCTTTAAAATTATAGGAAATGAAATCTCCAAAAATAGTTCAAAGGCAATTCCAACATGAATTTAATAAACCTTTGGCAACAGAACAATGAATTAAAAGATGGTTAAAACAGTTTCGAGAGACCAGCCATGTTTTGCATAAAGGAAGCGTAGGTAGGCAAGGTCTCAGGAATAAAAATGCTTTTGCCATTTGAGATGTGTTGTGAACAGTCTCAATAAATCTATTCTTCGTGCCAATCCACAAACAGGAATTCCAAAGTAAAATGTTGTTCATGAATGGTTGAAACTGACTATGCATGAACTTCAGATTTGTCAACAGATCAAAACTAATGATCGAGTCATTTGTGAGAAATTTTCTGTAGACATTCTTGACCATATCAGCAATGATGATCAGTTTTTCAGAAAATCATATTCACTGATGAAGTAATATTTTATGTTAGGGGGAAGGTTAATCGTTGTAACTGCAGGGTTTGGGTGTTGGGTGTTGGAAAATCTGCATTTTCTAATCAGTTAATTTGTATGATTACTTCAATGTGTAAGAGACACTATTGAAAAGAACTGGACCTAAACAAGATAGATTTACTGTGATACCATGGTTATGTTACCTCATATAATATCTACATGTAAAATAGCTCTGAATCATCACCTGATTTGAATCATGCACAAAAATAATGCTCAACTATAGACATGCAGCAGTCCAAACGATCATCTTATACAGCACTAAGTAAGTTAACAAAATTTATTATTATCACTAACAAGTGTTTGAATGCATATATATTTCCTTTCTTTTAACCATCTTAGGACCATAATGCGAATGAGCTATCTACACTATGCAGATTTAATTACATATGTGAAAGACACTAGTGCTCAAATTGCTTAAATAATTATAAATTTAGCCTTATGGAGAACCTCAGGTGCCTGTTTGTAAATGTGGAATGATGTAAATCAGGATTTCCATTAAAAATATATTTTGTTATATTCAGATATTAAAGCATTTTTTCATATATATGAACACTTCAAAATGATAATAATAGCAATAATAAAATAAATCGTATAATATATCTAATTGCTCTACTTTTTTTCCTCCCCTCTGCAGTCTCTGTTTCTTTAAAAAAGGCTACTTTAAAGGCATAATTCTTCCCCCATTTATGATCATAATGCATATCACCATCACTGCACGAGCATTTCAGCAATTTGGAGAACTCAACTATCTTCAGCAGCAGTCTCTGGTGCATTTAAAGTACTGGAAGCAATATATTAAAATATTTCCTTGCTTTCAAATGTCAAAATGCAGAGATAAAAAATTGAAAAAAAATCCATCTTATTACTTAGATATGTCTTATCTACATTCATTTAAAATGGTGTAGTATTTTCAGTTTATTCACACTTCCTCCAGCCAAATTATTACCATAATTCTCGGAATTAATTCCTCTTGTTACCTTTATGCTTTTAATTGGAAAGAACAAGTTACTTCAGGGCTCAAAGTAAAAAGTTATCTCTGACATAGCTATGCAATGCTTCCCAATAGTCAGTAACTTTTGCCTGTACTTCCTTATTATAGTGGCCCCTGACCTCATGCAGCTATGATTTCACCAAGCTCATGAAGTACGAATGTAAAAATAAAACGAAACTATATATAATTCTAATAATACTCAAATGTTGTTTGCTAAGAATATTTTTAATAATCGTTAAAGCGACTGTAATCAGCTTCTTCAAGTTGCTCCATTTTATATCCCTTCCAGCAGTCAATAAATTGTTGATCCATCTTGCACATGTTGAATAATTTTCTCCATTAGTATACTAGTATATGTATTCAAAATCTGAATGGCAAAGCACTCCCATCTCCCCGGCATATTCTTCCAAAAAATCCACTCTTTTGGGAGTACTCTGCAGCTGAAGTTCTTAACGTCGGATGAACAAACTGTCATCGATTACAACTATTTTATTGGAACTGCCAACACCCTCATTGAATGTTTGCATCAGATGTAGGGAGCATTTCCCACATGTAATTGTTCCAATCAGCTGCATAATTTTGACACATATGAAGCTGTTTATCGCACCACTTGATGGATGTCAGCTCGTTTTCCTGAGAATACCTAAATCTAAATTAGTGAACAATGATATTCTGGAACCACTACACCAATTTCCAACATAAAAACCTTTCTTCCTTTTTTTCTTCCTTTTTGGTTTAACATTGCATCTCCAAATAGTTTCATCATTAACATAACATATAGTTTCCTGTTGAGGCTATTTTCGTATACTCATTTGTTGGGTAAAGGAAATCTTTCCTAAAAAAATGACATCTTAAAGCTTGAC